CAAAACTATTCGAAATTACATCATATTTTCTTCTCATATTTGTAAAAAATGTTGATTCGGCTCTTAAATAATTTGTAATTTAAAATTTAGTTTTACTACCTGAATAAACTTCTTTTCGATAATTTGGCTTAAAATAAAATTTCATATGTCGAAATAAAAAAAATAAACAAACATTATTATGATATTCGGCCATTATGACGCCTTCAGGACCTTTGGGATTTTCACGAATACACTTATCAATGTGAACCATTATGTTGTGCAATCTTCTTTCCATTGCAGGATAATGCTTATATGCTAATATTGGCGCTAATGGATCTTTTGACATCGACCTTTAAATAAGTGTGAAGTCAAAGGTTAAGTTTTACAATGTGTGAAATCTGAGGAAAATAGTTAAGTGAAAAAAAAAATTGCTTACTGATGAAGTGCTTTTGTTAGTGAGATAGGCTCACGATAGTATTTCAATAGTGTAAAGAAAGTTGAGGGTCTCAAGACACAACATTGCCTTAACGGTAACAGTATATCGTCGTCATCAAAATCTGTTCTGCCAAACCTGTAATGTACAAAACTTGCGCACTCTTTTACACTGGAAAGGAGTTTTCCGGAAACGTGGATAATATTGGTAATTGCAGTAAGTAAATACTTACGCCCTTCCGTTATCCAAATGAATTGCATAAGATGGAGCATTCGTGAAAATAGAAAATGCTTCATAATGATGCCGATCTTGATTGCCTGTAATTAATTTGTCTCCTAATTCATCTTTCATCCTTTCACTTGAAAACCTTACAGGTTTCAAGTCTGTAAACTTTATCAAACCAACCAATCAGATAATCCATCACGTGAAAGTCAACAAGATCAAGTAACGTGCGCCCATGAGCATAACGCTTCATTTTTTTGACGTTTTCCCGGCAATAATTCATATTTCGTTGCCATTCAGCTATTTGATTCTTCTTCGAATATGTTCTAAATGAAATTAAAAAAAAATTTGATTTTGTAGACCAAAAAAGCAATATTTTTTAAATAAGAATTAATTAAATCAAAAATCGAATTCGAATGTTTGATAGTTGAATTGCTTCTTATTTTCAGCCGTTCTGACGAATTTTATGAAAACAAACAATAACATCTCTGACCTTCTGTAAGGTGATCTATTATGCTTCCTGGGAACACTAGTTTCATCTGGAAGGAATACTTGTACTGACCCTTCCCTGGTATCCGGGGTACCACAAATAGCATGTGATGTGTCACAATAATAATCGCATTTGCTCACGAAGCACAAATTTTTGGCTGAAAATGATGAAAGAATTTGAAATGACTGGAAAATAATCCCAAAAATTATTTTAAAATATAACTTTTCATCATATCATTCTTATCATTTCGTTATTACCTACAATGGGACATTTACGCCAAAACGTATGCAAATGCCTAGCCAGTCATTTTTCTATAGGATCAGTGCCAAAATACGAACCTCTCCAGAAAACTTAAACTTCGTATGACGATATCATTGACAAACCTGCAATAATAATCTGCAAAAACTGCAGGATCAGTCAAATTCGCTGCCTGCAATTTGCAGTTTCAACAAGAAAATAACATTAGTTGATAGAAAACATACCTGGCGAAATGAAAAATGTCTTAGCCAAACGTTTTTCGGCTTTGTCGCGTAAATCGGACGTCAAATTGACAATACGGCCAACGGTTGGCACAGCACGTCGAAAGCCAAGTATTCTAAGTATGAATTCATTTAAATCGCTGGGATAGACCTACCAATTCAATTAAAGGTGGAAATCGAATCAAAGAGAACAAAAAGAAATGGAGAGAGAGAAAGAGAGAGAGTAATCGAGTAAGAGAATAAAGTAAATTTCTTCTTGATAACGAAGAGAATTTGGAAAAAAATTTCAATTTTATACATCAACCACACTTTAAATATGTTTTTTATCTTTTTAAATTTGATAGCTCGATAAATTACTTGTCCATATGAAATGTTGCAATTTCAGCATTATGACGCTCGAAGTCGCTGAAGTAAAAGTGATTCGGATCGGATTCATAATCACGGCCGAATCTAGAATTATAAATATTTCGTCAACATTTCTTTCATCCTCAGTTTTTTCCATTCTAAATTCTCTGCAATTTGCATTTCTGTGTTTTCTAAATTTATTTCAAAATCTATCACATCAGTAGTGAACAAGAAAAAAAATGTTGAATTTATTTTTTTTTTTCGAAAAGCTTAAGCAGCATTTACATTGGTTTTTCGTGCATCGAATTTGTTTTGTAAGAAAGGAAGTGGATGATTCATAACAATCCTTTAAGCTTAAGGTAGGACTATAAATGTATGGAATGTACAAGGAAAAGCTGATTAAATAGTAGACTTCAATTGACGTGATCAATTCAACAAAACCACTTATGACTAATCGGTCAGTCATTTAATGGAAAGAGTATTTAAGCGGCGGTGACATGTCCGGAGCGAGTTTCTCGATGGAATTTATAATAGATGCGATCAAATAATGTCTACTTGATTTATTGATTGATTGAAGTGTTGATTATCCAATAAACTTGATAACGGTAAACGAAACTTTCTCAGTTCTAATTTTAGGCTTGGATTCATCGAAATTTGTTTTTCATCTTAGGCCTAACTGGGTCTTAGCAGAAATGTGTTCTACTCCTGCGATTTCAGTAATGCTTGACTGCTCATGTTGGTGGGTTGAAAATTAAATGTATGATTTAAGAGGTCATATATAAATAAATGTGCGACATGTTATACTTCATGATTAAAAGAGTAATAAAATCTAAATCTTTCAATTTTCCGCTTAGACACATAAATTCCATTGTCCAAATAAAAAAGAAAAAGAAAAATATACCGCATAGGTTTAAAAACTGCTTGCTGGTCATTTTCAAATGTGAAAATAAGCTTAACTTGCGTGCCACCATCCATAATGGACACAGATTTCAGTGGTAATTTGGTGAGGTCATTTAACAACTTTTCTACAACCTGAAGATACGAATGAAAATAAAAAACAAGAAGCAAATCATTTTTAGATTTAAATAAAAAAAGAAAGAATTGTTGGATTTGTTGTATGTTATCAAAATAAGAACAAATTATTGCTATTCAACAGTTTCTTTTCTTGGGACAAATATTGCCGTATGGGAAATTTTGCACTCCTAATTTTCGATGAGCTCAAATATATCTACCATATGGTTATCATCTTTCTTCCAGCTATCATAGGGTAATGCGTAACGTCCACATGTTATCAAAGGGATGAACAAAAGTAGCGTCATCAATCATTGTGGGATGAGAATTATCATCATAGATAGGAATCTTTTGGGGCAAATTAATGATAAAAATTGCGAGTTAATGTTAGTTTTCATAGTAATAAAATAAATTTAATGCATACCTCTTCATCTCTGTAAACATCACAGCTGCCGATATCTGCATAAAATTTCTCCCATGAATCTCTTTCAGGTACAATTTTTCTATAAGTTGAAACATCATCTATAATAGATACTTTCCGAAAATCAACCGATTAATCATTTTTAGTACCAAAAAAGCTATCTAGTTCTAACTAATTATAAATACCATTTTTATCATTTACCCATTTTTCTCCTTCCAAAACTGTCGCAAAGTTTCATTCTTTGGACATTCCTTTGCAACCATTTCCGAAATATTTAAATCAAATAAATATTGATCCAACTGTTTCGCTAATGTCCAGTTGATATGTGGTACTGGAATTTTTTCTTTTTTTGAAGCGATAATTTATGGTAGAAGATATGAATCAATTTATTCTGGGAAGGAATTCAATTTTCATACCCCTGTTCCAAATTTTAAACTGAAAATTCGGAAGTTTTTTTATTGCTAACTTTTTTTTCGAAGCTTTCTAACCCCTATCTTTTACAAAAACTGATTTTTACGATTATTGACTGAGCAAAGTTTTTTTTTTAAAAAAAGAAAAAATTTATTTACCAAAGAAATGAGAAACATCGACATCTTTGGTCATAAACTTATAAATATTTTGTTTTTCTACATAAGAAATATGAGGAATTGGTCGTGGAAAATTCAATTTTTGATATTTTTTCAACCATTCTGAAAACAATTATTCGAAATTTAGGTAAGTGCTGCATGTAAATCAACTGGATATCACGGCTAAACAAAAAAAATTGCAAAAGGCTTGAGCAATCTTCATAATGATATTTGAATACCAATTCCCATTAGTAATACTTTATATCTGAAAAATGAAGAGATATTCATTAAGTTTACTTGACATGATGAACTAAGAAGTACCATTAAGAAGAAATTTCTAAATATCAGTAAGCTTCTGTAACACTTTCTATCCTAATGTAGTGGTTCTCTTACCGGAATTTTCGTCTTTCCGTATCACCGATAGCAAAATGATAGTGGTAAAAAATGTAGCACAAACAATGATTGCCAATTTCCGAATATATATACGCATAGTGCCGTCGTTTCAGTTGGAATTGTCGCAGATGTTAATGATAATGTCACTAACGAAGCTGTTGACTGTATCCCACAATCCTTACTCATTGCAAAACGTCATCCGTGCGTCGATCACAAGGATTGTGGGGATTTGATCTAGCGATAACCAATTATTATCAGTAATATACTGTAAATGATTCAATATAATTCGTTTATGCAAAACATTAATGTCACATCCTTTGTATCAGATATGTTGAAAGGATACTGATGTTATTTTTAATTACCCAAATGTTCAAGTATGATCATGAAAATGAGCGGATGATGTGGCAAGAACAAAAAAATAAATAAAATCACATCAGAAACGAATATGGAAATATAAATCTTATGAAATATCAATAACGACAAAAACGTAAACTCAAAAATTGACATTTAAAACAAAAAAATCCTTTTCAATTTTTGTAACTGTTTTTTTTCTCATTTCTTTTATCTTTTTTCAACTCTTCAAAGTTAAGAATGATCCTTATCCAGACCAATATTACCAATGATAATTATGAAATTGTGTACACTTTTCGACAAAGATGTTGGTGGTAGGTGCGATTGAATTAATGATCCATTTCAGAATAGCTTATTATATTTGACAAATATAAATATTTCATATAACTAATGACATATTTCAAATTAATTTATTGGATTTTTCAAAAAAAAAGAAAACAACAAGATATAAATAAATGATTGAGGGGGAAAAAAGGAATGAAAATGAGCAATAAATGGGTCCAAATTGTTGAGGATAGACGGTTGACAAGAACGGCTAACAGTGTGTGTATGTGTGTGTATGTGTGTGTGTGTGTGTGTGTGTGTATGCATGTGTATGTGTGTGTATGCATGTGTGTGTGTGTTATTACTGCCCGGTACACCCTAACCCCGTCATATTACCTGCCCCTCCTCATGGCAATCTCCTTCATACAGATGATTTTCAATGTAAATACACCGAAAACACAACACGACCACCCATATTTTTCCACCAAACAGAAGAACACTGTGCATATTGCATGGTTATTATTATTATTGTTGTTGTTGTTGTTGTTGTCGTTGTTGTCGTTGTTGTTGTTGTTGTTTGTTGTTGTTGTTTTGTTGTTGTTGTTGTTGT